GCACTGATATAGTTTGACAAAGTTTTATAATGTTCGGATTTGCAGCCTGAGACCCAGCTAGCTCCCAAGAAGACAAAATAGACGTCCGAGTTCTACAGAGTGATGCCTCTTTATGAAAGGTAGACTGGAGGTAGTCTTCAGTTTCGGGAAGGCGGAAGAATTTCATTTACATTCTCTACTTATATTATCTGAATTTTATGTTTCTACCGTCACTGATTGAATTTGGTCTTGAATTAAGACAAGCATTCGAGTGTTGAATAATTCATTTTGACATCGATAGAGGCTAGCGTTTACTTTTGTTTTTTTTATCGTCATTATTATTTCTTTGCAATTTCTGTGATGAGTATTGAAGTTTTTTGCTTTGTTTAGATTGCCGTCTCTCTCGTATCGGTGCTTGTTATATCTGGTTTATTTAAGGATGTAATTCTGGCATCATATCCCCCGGCCCGCTCCCACCCTTGGCCAAGCCCCAATTAATTGTCCACAACACTCATGTACAGCTGCAGAATGCAGAAAAAATAACAATGTTCTAAGTTACACTCTCAATTCATATTGCATTATAATCCGAACCAACGTATTTACCGTTATATAAAAGTATCAAGAAGTACAAAGTTGAAATTTTACAAGCTTGGGAACAATCGTGAAGAATTTTTAGATTCAAAAACCATTTAAGCTGTATCAAGGTTGTGCAGCTTCCAGAAGTTTCTCATATATCTGTCTTGCAGTCAAATCTTCGACCTGTTTCAGAAGTTATATAATCAGACAAAACGACTAATCGGACACAAAGTTAAAATCCAAATAAATAGATAGGCAGGCTCGACCAGTAAAGCTAAGGTTTGCTTAGGAAAAGGATGTCTTCATTGCCGTCAGACTGATTTTCACTATATAGGTTACGGACTGACAAATATTTGAACATATGCACGCGTGTGTATATAAACAGATACATGTACATTTACCATAATCAAGATTGATGCAAGTTTTCTATGAAGTCCTGTTTCAGCCTTTTCCTTTCCCCTCTCTTCTGGAGAGATTCTAACAAAATAGTTGATAGTTACTCTCCTCGAAGGAGACGTCTATATGCCTTGATTAACAATGGTTCTTTTATTTATTCCCCGAGGTTCAATTTCTTGAAATTACGTGGGCAGATCACTAACTGGTCATGAACTTGCAAAACAATCAAACTTTATTATTAATTTTGACGAGTTCTGTTCGCTGTAGCTCAATGCTCTGGAAAGCTCACTGACAGAAAACTAAAACACCGCTAAATCCGTATAGATCAACTTATCAAAACACGAAGGCAATTTTCTGTGAGGACTTGCTCGATAAGCCAGAACTAGAATCGTCAAATTACATATCAACTGGAGAAGGAAAAAGTGGCGTGCATGTAGTATCAAAAAATAGATTGTTTAAAATGATGAAATTTGAGTGGTGAACTTACCACAAGGAGCTTCGATTTGTTATTCCATCCTCTTTGAAGACTCATCTGGCTTAATTTAAGGCCCAATACCTGTCTCGAAGAAATTTTACCCAGTCAATTTCATTTGATAAATCAACTGAGGTTCAATTTATCAGTTTTTAAATGAATAAAATTCTGTTGCATACTTTTCCCATGAATTCTAAAAGCTCATTGTTAGCTTCTCCTCGGGCTGCAGGTGCAGCTACAGAGACCCGAACATCATCAGCATTTACTCCTGATATAAATGTAATTCAAAGACACCATTCTTAGCAAAGAATGATCATCAGTTATCTCATACATCTTTATATCTAATATCATCCTTTAGAAATGTCAAATTCCGGACAAGCCATATGTAAAAGATGACAGTTTGCCCCTACTACAAAGAAATATTTTGAATCTGCCCATGAAGATACACAAGGTTCGTTGCTTGTAAAAATATAATAATTTTTCGCTAGTAACATTTGAACATCACATCTTCAAGATCGTAATGGACAGAAAGAAAGAAAGAAAAGCTTTTCTGGTTTAAAAGCAAAAGCATATAAGCAGAACAGACCCACTAACAAATGCAGAATATACTCTTATCACAAAGATTTTGGGTGTAGTCATGTAGACGATAGAGATACTATCTCGTACTAGTGATTTTCAAATCAAGCCTAGGTCTCACATGACATCATACAAGTCAATGTTATACTTCTAAGGTTACAGTATCCAGATTATTTGAGGTTGACTACCTCTAGAAAGATGCGTATAAACGTTTGCTCTGCCTATAGCTAACTCCTGACTTTGAAAGTTAAAAGACTCTGTCTCCAACATGCGCTGCCTGAATAGGTAAAGTTATCCCCCCCACCCCCAGTCCGGAAACACAAGTATGGGCCTTACACATATTAACATTTAGAATCTGCAGACTGCAGTTAATTCAAGAGTTTAAATCACATGCAATTATCTACTCTTTCTTCAAACTGGTTTTTTTTGGGTCCAATTCCTTCGGCTGTAGAACAATAAATGACAATTCACTAATTCATGCTTAATTCTTTCTTTCATTTTTTGGCAAAGATTAAATAAATGTTCTCAAGGAGTATACAATTATGTCTTGAAGGTGAATAAAAACCAGAACCAAGCACACTGAAAGCATACGAAGAAATTGATTAACAACAGAACTAGCACACAGAGTGGACAAAGAAAATGAATTTTCCAAACGAAGGAACTACTATAAGCAAAACATATACTTATTTGATTTTAAGCGTAGCCTTATGTGTGTAGGTACAGGCATCACAAGAATTCCCTTAGCTAGAGCTTTAACCCATGGACATCTATGGGCAGAACAGCAAATAAATTTACTTGTAATTGCAGAGCGCTGTGCACGGTCTTCCACTTCTATTGCTACTTGAACAAGGCCTCCTTCTAACTGCGATATACAGGGTGGTACAGGAGCATCCTACAATAGAAAGATCAAATTATAGCTTCCTCACAAACAGTTAACTCACAAGAGAGCTTTAAGTATATACTATTCCCAAAAGCATGGAAAAGCAAGAAACGTGGGAGTACTATGGACATCAGACAAACTTGAGAACAGGGTAAATGATAAGGATATATGACATGCCTTCGGTCCTTCAAATTTTTATATTGCTTGATTCCCAAATTGAGTAGTTGAAAGATTAATAACAAGGAATCAAGGATAATGATTAACATATGGATATTTGTTACCTGTGGATTGGTTTCAGCAGCAATTGTACTAAGAGCACCATCAACCACATATATGAAAGAGGAGGATTCTAGGTCTTCTTCTGCACGATAGCAAACAAACAGCTCACAACCCAGACAATTCATTCTATACTGCTTCTCCATTTTTCCTTCACCACTGCACGAGAAAGATTCACCACAACAGCGATTAACTTCAAAGAATTTAAATTTCAGAAATTTCGCACAGAACAGCTGAAATAGATATAATGAAGTGAGATGCACCTATCAATTACTAAAAGCAGGTAATCAGCAATTCTTCATGAATCCACAAACTGCTAGCTCTATAACTGATTTTTGTTAGATTATATACTTTCAAGTAGTGAAATGCAGTGTATGCAAGCATATAGCAAATTTGGCTTGTCAGTTCCATGCAGGAGGCAATATTCCTGAGTAATCTATCATCAATAAAAGATGTATCACCAGTTATGTGGCAATAGGTCCCTTCATTGTCCAATGCGATTTAATTCATTGGACAATGAAACAGTAAACAGGTTGCCACCTAACCAGTCATACATCTTTACTAATGATAGATAACATTATTCATATTCCAGACTTTAACAGGCAACACATATGATCAGCAGTTCCATCAGAAACAACATTTTAATTTTGACGGATGGTGCACAAATTCATATTTTTCATTGAAATAAAGAGCGAGACTTAAGATATGATCTAAGCTAAGATAACCTGATAAGAAAATAAAATATTTCAGAAATTAGATAAGCCTTAGTTTTGCTCTCTCTCTCTCTCTCTCTCTCTCTCTCTCTCTCTCTCTCTCTCTCTCAGACAAGATTCAGAAAGATAGCAGATTATCTAATTATCATGATAACTCTACTGCCTTGGACATCTGAGCAAATCTGGAAGGAAACTAAACATAAAGATCGCATTGTTTACAGTATTTCACTTGTCTGTCCAAGTCTGATTCTCCTCATTGAAGAAAAAATATGCAGACTATCCAACATCATCAAAATTTGGGTAGAACTAAAAGAGATCTTGAGGATGGGAAAAGTTTTTAACTATCTTTTAGTCTATTAAAGTTACATGCAGTGATGGCTTGAAGATTTGATTCATCTAGTAAAGATAAACAGACTGCAGGACCTGGAAATTACTCCCAAACAGAAGAAACAGGTAAACTCTGATACAATATTGAATCAGCAAGACTAAACATAATGGGATTGTTCCTAAATACATTCGGGTATGCAAATAGACGGAGAGATCAGTTTCACAACAGCTCAATTCGTCCAAAAATAAGAGAGCTCGTAAATTAGGCACCAAGAACATGTCATACAAAAGAAATATTAGTGTCTTCATATCTGTTCTGTCTCGTTCTGCTTTTATTCATTATTAAGTGTTTTAGTCGAATAAAACAAAGAACTATAGAAAGCTGAAAAAAGGAGGATTTGCATGATGAACAAGACTATACAACATGACATCTGATACAATTTGATAAATAGAAGATTACCGCTTCAAGAGAATTTTTCCCCCTTCACTAGTATTCAGCCTTGCAAGATGCTTCTTCTTGTCCAATACATATGCTTTGTCAGTTTTTCTCTTTGGCATTTTCTGCAATTGCGTATCTACAAAAATGCTTCAGTATGGAGAAGCGTAAATTTACAACTGGGGTATCTACAAATAGGGATTTCTTTGGCCAGGAAAAACAGAAAAGCAAGCATAACTGCAATAGAATCAGTTTTGTTCTTCTCGAGAAGTCATCAAACATTTGAGATAAGATCTCAAATTAATCCAAATCACATTGGAAGTGGAATTAAAATTATAAAAACTCAAGTTATAGCTGAAAATATTAATCAAATATGACTATACTAATAACATGAATAGAAGACGATTAGTCACAATAATTTCTCCTAAAATTCAAAATACAAAAACAGAAAAAAACAATAATCAAAACAGTTCTTCACCCATCTGAAACAAATAATAAGCACAATGTTTTTCTTGTGCATTATGCTTGGGATAAATTTATTTATATTATGCATATGGAAATTTTGAAGCCAAATCGAAGTTCATTTGGAGAAATATTCCAAAAAAATCAAAAACAGAAAAGAAGAGTAAATTACCGGTGATGAGAATGTGAGAGCTGCAGTGCTTGCAATAGTATACGAAGAGATCGGAGTCCGGGCGGTCCGGCGCGGCGTCCTCGCTGGAGTACGTGTGAGTAGTCCGCTTCGGCATTTGATTTGAATCTGTTTCTCTTTCTCTTTCAGCGACTACTTCCTTTTCCTTCCAAGTCACGACCGACGAAAGTGCCGCTAGGAGTCCAGCAATAAACGCCAATGTACCGCTTGTCTGTCAAATGTCAAAAAAGCTGGGGAGATTTTTATAAATGGCCTACTACTATTCATTTTTTTGTAAAATGTCTATAATACCCTTAATGAATTGATTTATCATATTTTGCACAAGATATTCTTAATTTATTGAGATAGTTCTAATTTCTTCTATTTCTCTCATTTCGAGTTTTAATATATAATTCCATCTTTTGATCTAATAAATTAGAATAATCTGTAATATAATTGTCATGTAATTTACTAAGATTATCATATTCCTTAAATGAAATATCCACAATCTCTAGTTGAGCAAAAATATTTCTTATTTTTTCCAATAGTTTTTTCTAACAGATTATCTAATCCTTTAATTGTATAACCTGACATTATTCAAATAATTCCTTACAAGCTTTATGAATAACATGTTATATAAAGTTTTTGCAAACATGAAAAGTAATAATCCCTACGATTCTTTCAAGATATTAGAAGAATTCTTTCTAAATTTAACAAAGACAATAATTTTACCTCACTTTTGATCTTGAATCTGTATTCTTAGAACCGAGTGACCTTCAGGCTCTGAATCTGCAAATTGCTCCCTCAAACGGCCTCTTGCCTCAATGGGAATTCTGCTATTTCAGCTTCTTGCCCTCAATGTATCTTTTCTTAGAATTAAGAGTAAAGATCTTAAGTAACGAAAATTCTTTCTTTGTTAAAATAAGAAAGAAATTATCTTCTTTAATCTATCAAGAATCTATGGGATAGGAAATTTAGAAACTCATATCTTTCTGATATCAAAAGATTGAAATTTTATTTTTATAATGATTTATACAAGGTTTCTATTGTATACAAGGGGTTTCCAGAAAAACTGGTTTTGAGAAAAGTTTAAGGAAAGAGAATGGTTTCTAACTCGAGATGCCATTTTTTCCCCAAATGCCTCTATTTATACATGACTCAAACTCACTATTATTGATCTGTTACATCATTACATACATCAGAATTTTGAAAAAGGCTCACATGCCTCTCTATTCTTTTCCTCCTGGGGTCTACATCTTCACATGCATTTTTTACTTTTTTTATCAAAGTGGCATCTTTTCTTCTATTATTGCCTTATTATCTTTGGCTTCATATGTAGCTGGCTAGATGCTCTTCTATTATTGTTTTTCCATCTTTGTCTTCATACGCAGCTGGCCAGATGCTTTGGTAGTGGTAGGTTATTTTCCATCCATCAATCTTTCAATTTTGTCTACATGTGGGGCACTCCCTCAATCTGCATGATTCTTGAATTGTTGTTGGACTTCCATTAATTTGATGAGTATCAAATTTTCGGATATATTCTTTCAAAATGGTAGATTTTTCTTTTCCATTATTTGTAAGGAGTGTCCATCCTTCATATTGGCACAAGCATCTGAATTTTTTATCATATAAGTTCTTTGCAATATTGTAAAGAACTTTCATCCCCAAAACACTTCGAGATTTTATCTATGATTTATTGATTTTAGGCAATGGTTTATTATTTCGGCCAACTTCAATCTGGAAATCTCGGCCAACATATCCAATTGTAATAATATGTTCAGCAGGATAGTATATCCTTCCATCAACTTCAGGACTTAATGAATAAAATTTGATATAAATAGATCTTCCTTTGGCAAATTTTGAAACTTCTGCCCTGAATATATCATCAAATTTTTCAATTTCTTTTAAATCTTTTCCTGGATAGATCAAATCCAGAAATCCATAATCTACTGCCATCTTGACCATGAAAGGGTCTGCATCTTTGGTAATTATTAATCTGGGATAAACATGATCTCCTGATGCAATAAAATAAGATTCATTTTCTTCCAATTCATAAACAATCTTGGCAAATGATCTATATTCTTCTTCTATTTGATGATAAAGGGGTATCATCATCTTCATCAGTTTTGATTCTTATAACTCTTGTATGTTCATCA